TCAAATTATCATTGTAAACAAGATATTAGGGAGAATTATTTAAATACTTGGGAAAATTAAGTCTTCATGTGAGTACTTACAAGCATATACATTCTCACTTAAAGGATAAACAGACTAATAAAAATATTTACCAAGTGGAATCCATGGTAGATGGGGGCGATGGGGGGTGGAAAGTCTTTTCAATGTATACTTTTTGTACACCATTTTGATTTCTGACCAATGTAAATATTTTCAGCCATGTAAATATTTTGCCTGTTCAGAAATACAACATGAATATATATGCATACCTGCATATAAATATACATTTGTTATAACTTCATAGACATCCACAGGAGCCATGTAACCATAAAAACATTCCTTTGAATGTACAAAATTAATTTCTTCTTTAAATATCTTAGGTTTTGAGACATTGTCTCTTGTGTGTTAAAGGTGGTCTGTGTGTTGAACAAGTGAGTAGACTTAATTTGAAAATGTTAGTAGGACATGATTTCAATTGAAGTCATTTTTATGACTGTTGGGTGGTCCATTTGTCCTCTGACAAGCTAGTTACACTGACAAACTTTAGAGGAAATTTCAGGTGTTCATTTTGCAATTAATTTTTTAGATAGCCCAGAATAGAGAGAGGTGGAGGAGGAATTATCTCTTTCAATCCTGAGTGCTCTGAAGCCTCTAATAAAAGGGTGGTGGGTCCATTCCTAGCTGTTGGAGTTTTTTTTTACTAAGTGTAAGCTATTTGTTTTTTAAAAAACTTCCCTTTAAAGTAAGCTGTTGTTTATATAGAAAACTAACTTCTGCTGTGAACATGTACATATTGTTTTTGAGGGTAAGAAGTAATTTCAGAGCCAGGTCAGAGATTTTTAAAAAGATAATAGACTATAGAATATAATTTCAAATAGGAGACCCTAGAATTACATCTTCATCAAATTTTATATTATTTCATTTATATTTTAAAGTAGAAGACATTACACTGACTTAAAGTCTTTGTTATAAAGGTAAACATTTATTCTTTAGATTATCATACTACTTTGCACAGTATTGAGAATCATTTTCTTAATGAAAGTCATTTACTAACATAGCAGAGAGTATTAAAATGTTAAGTCCAACTAGTATTTCTTTTTTTTCTGAAGAAACTTTCTAAGTACTTAAATGACTATAGGCACACAGTTTGCTTGTAATAAAGAACATTAATGGGGAGGGTAGGAGTTAATTAACTAGACCCTTAAATAATGGGCCTTTCTAGTCCAAGGAATCTTATAATTTGCCTCTAAAGCTTAGTTGTGTAGCAAGTTGCAAAATGAAATATCTAGATATGTGCAGTAGTCGTTCAAAGAAAAAGGCTGCCTTCAGGCAAACTGTGGTACCTTTTATTATTATGTAAAATGCCTTTTTAATGACAAGCAATACACATTGTCAGAATAATTCTGGAAGTAACAGTCCAAGGCCTCCTTTTACTCAAGATTAAATTAACAAATAAGGGTTAGACTCTCCAATGAGCACAGTTTTTGCTCCCTTTGGAACAACAGAACCTCTTGGCCAAACTTTATACTTAATACTAGTTTCATAATCCTGAAGAGATATTCTCATGATTTCTAAAGTTGATGAAGTGTGTGATAATTTATGAAAACTATGTTTTAAACAAATGAAATGGGAGCACATAGGGAATATTTTCATTAAATCTTAATATAAGAAATATACAGGGTGCATTATAATTTACCACCTAATTTCTGCAAATGCTGTATGCTCCAAACTGGTTTACTTTATTGTAAATTCCCCTAGAGAATATTTAATTTCTCCCTTTGGGATTGCCCATTTTGTACCATCTAAGCTACTTGAAAGATCTGATCAGCCAACACTGCAATAGGGGAACAGTTGCTGAAAATAGCCTGCTTCGCTTCTGTTGGGAGGACTGTATGAAAATATATTCCATTTTCAAAATGTTTCTGAAAGGACTTACTTGTGGCAATGATGCTTACCATTTAAAACTCTTGAAAAATTCAGGTTTTACAAAATAAAAATGATCTCCTGAAAGTTTGAAAGGGGAGAGGGGGGCTGTCGTGTGGGGGCGGTCTCATTTGCTGCCCACGGCCCCCTCTGTTCCGTGCGTTGCGTGCTCACGGGTTCCCTGGAGCGGATCACCATATAATTGATGTGCAGTCTGCATTGCTGAATCCTGGACTGCACCATTCTGTGTTCAAGGGAAGATGTAATCTGATCCCTCTGCTGCTGAGGGAGGAATCTGTTCAGTCAAGGCTTTGACAGGGCATAGTCTCCTCCAATAATCTTCTCGGTTCTCTCTCATTATTCCCTCGAGTTCTCCACAGTCAAGCTGCATGTATGTATGTGTGTCCCGAGAAGCGGTTTGATACTGAGCTGCATTTGCCTTTACTGTGGAGTTTTGTTGCCGGTTCTGCTCCCTAATCTTCCTTTTCTGACGTGCCTGAGCATGTCCACATTAGAATCTGTGACATACCTACCTGAAAAAGGTCTATATTGTCAGAGACTGCCAAGCAGCCGGACACACGGGGGCACAGAATCACTGAAGGGGAAAAATACAGAAAATATGGGTTTCTACGGCACACTAAAAATGATTTTTTACAAAGTAAGTAATCTGTTTTCTTCCTGTGCTGTATGATTGTGTGTGCGTGCCTGCCTGAGAAGGAAAATCTGTATCATCAGAGATGGCTGCAGTATCCTCTAATTTTGGTGGGTGGCTGGATGTCTGGTATTCTGTTCTATATCGTGAATGTAAGCAAATAATGGGAAGACAGCGTGAGCTGTAAGAAGTATTACATTTAAAATAAAATGTACATTTTAATCTGAGAATTTTTCACTAAAAATATATTCAGACTTCAGAAATGTGGATCCGTTAAATGCTGACCTGGAAATACTCTGCCCTTAGTTGGTTTTTAGTGAATCTTTTTGTCTTTTTCCATATCTTATATATATATATATATATATATATATATATGTATTTCTTTTTTCTTTAGTTGACTCTTAAAGTGGAGAGCATGAGAATATTTGGAATTTATATTTAAAAAGATCATAATTACTTTCTGCACCCCTTAAAAATTGCAGAATTGATTTTTTGGTTCTAAAGTCAGTATTTTCAGTAAACAATATAATATCTAAAAGACTTCCATAGTCACACAGAAAGTGCTTTATTTTGTAGAATATTCTAAAGGTAAAATCCTTTCTCATTAGTTCCCTTGCTGTGTATTTCAAACATTTTTATTCATTGTAGGATCTCTAAGATAGAAATAAAGTTTGGTTTTAGTGGCAAGTGGCATTTGCACCAATGTATTTACCAGATATCCAGGGAAGTTCTGAAAGCCAGTATCACAAACTTAATTAGAATGAATATCAGAGTTTCTCATAATAATTTTGAAAGGAAGAATCTGTGGGCATTATTAAAAAACTAGATTTCCAAGGTACCATGTACCTACTCACCTTCTTGATGGATACATTTGCATGTATGTATATATTTGTGTGTGTCTATAATTTATATACATGCAAGCACGTGGCTACCTATGTATTAAAGCTCTATATTTATTATTGCTCTTTATTAAAATTATTTGGACAAAGAAAATAATGGTTTTTGAGAAAAATCACTTTTAAACAATGTACTGAGTACAGAAACTTCTAAAGGGTTGAAATAAGACAATTCCGTTTCTTTCCAGTAGGTATTTCATGAACGGAAGTATAAATTGTGGAAGAACTGGTTGTACCCTCACCTCTAGCCCCTAATATTTTAAGATCGTCCCTGTATTGTGGAAGACTTTTTCATGATGATAGTCTTTATTACCCTAGTTGGTTCAAAAAGAATTTTTAAAGTCTTGTAGGTTCTTTTTAGTATTTACAGTGTAGCATGCTGTCTTATGATGTTCTCATGTGAGGCTATAGATAAAAAATTAAGGCTACTGCAGAATAAGTTTATCCTTATAAAAATGAGGATAGTTGTCTATCACTCTGGGGTTTTCCCCTGTAATTTTTAATAATACAGTAATTAATTAGCAGACACAAATCCGAGGAGGGTGTTGAAGTAGAAAAAGTTGAATCTTACCAGATCTTATTTTCTAGTTTTATATTATATGTATAGTTAGATGACCTCAGTTAACTGATAGTGAAATATAAAAAATAAGTATTTCAATGTTGATGTTCATAAAATGCAATCCCAAATATTTTCAGTATTACTTACATATAGCATAATGAAATTCTTTAAAAGTATAAACGTTGGATATACTTTACAAAGATACATAACTCACTCCTTTTAAATCTTGTTGCTTTTCAAGTTAGAATGTTTTGTCCTGAGCAAGTGTATCTGTCAGTAGTTACATTCCATGTAAATATGAGTTGATGGCTTTTCTCACCTTTATTATTCCATCTCCAGATTTCTCTATTACAGATTTACTTTTTTTGCTGTCCTCATTGCCCATATTAATTGCTTTATGCCTTATTATAATTAATTTTCAAGATAATTTTACTTGCATTATTCTCTTTACCCTTTCAATGTGTTTTAAGTTCAGTTACTGTTACTTCCATTCTGAATTTGAAATGTTGAATTTTGTTATCTTTCATAAAATATGTTTTTAAAGAAAAATGAAGATGAGTAAGAAAGGCATGTTAGATATGGTTCTTTTCTGTGTGGATTAACATAACATTTTCCCTTATGTTGGTTCTTGAAAATGTGAAGGGCATAGTACGTTACTCTCAAGGAATATACATGATGAATTTCATTTTTTAAATCACTGTTTGTTCTTCTGAACAAAATATTAGGGAGGACAGTTCACCTTTCCTGTCTTGCCAAAGAGTAAAACAAAGTAGAACTAATAGAAGAAACTATGAAAACATTTATTTTCTATATTAGTTAGCTATGCCTAATTAACATTATAGGCATATAAAAATTTAAGAATTTTTTTTCAATATTACCAATGTTAATGTTGAGATTTGATAGTTGGACAGATTTTTTTTTTTTAATGTATGTTACTTGTTTTACCTTATAGATGAAAAGAAAGTTGGACCATGGTTCTGAGGTCCGCTCTTTTTCTTTGGGAAAGAAACCATGCAAAGTCTCAGAATATACAAGGTAATATTAAGTGTGATAATGTGTTCTTTCATGATTCTCATGTTTCTTTAAAGAGTTGATGTTTCTAAAAGCATTTCAGCTTATTCTCATAGAATTATAATGTCACTAGTATTGCAGATGATTTGACACATTTTGAGATACCTGAAAATTGGGAAATACATCATTTTAAATGAGAAGAATGACTGCCACTATAGCTTTATATTTGTTACTAATACATTGAAGTAAGACACAAGCAGGAGTTCTCTTATCAACAAAATTACTAAATCACAATTTTTAAGGAGTTCTAAAAAAGTAAACCCTAAAATATGAACATGAGCAAATGTATCTTGTTACTATAGCAACAGTTCTTCTAGGGTGGAAATTTATGTATGAAAAATTGAAGATACATTTTAGCAGGGAAACAAACCTCACAATTACTAACACTAATTTCATGATATTACTGTGTTAAAAATCCCCTTTTATTTGCTTGGCAAGTCTTATGTTTTTAATGCATACATTTCTGCACCAATATAATAGTTCCCATAACAACTAAATACAATTGTAGTCTTGTTTTGTGCATCATTCCATCATTTTTGGATTTTGCATCAGTATAAAACTTTTCCTACTCGCACGCTAATTAGACTAACTGAAGCACAATATCTATTACCTAGCCAATTAAAATGGCTTTGGATGTCGTTAGGAATGTGGTATTTTAAAATTTAAATGACAAAAGTATCTTAAGAGCTTTTTTAGGTTTTCTTTGCATAATTGTCACCTCTTCAAATAACTGATTAAAAGTTAGCTATAGAAACCATAAGAACTTCATGATGGTGACATTTCTTCTTTTTTCCCTAAATATTTTGATTTAGAGTTATTTTTGTTCCATAAGATGAAGTACAATTACACTGCTCAGACATAAGGTTTTGTGCTTGAACATGGTACAGATTGCATCTCTTTTATTCAGGGAAACTGTCTCAATTTTTATTTCATTCACTTGTGGAAAATATTTCTTTCAAATGCTCTGTCATGAAACTTAGATATCATTATTATGATTTAGAATTAGCTTTAGATGAATTATAATTAGAATTATGATTTATAAAACTATTAGTTTTATATGCACAAAATGGAGAGATGATAAGATAAGTGATTTCCCCATGTTAACTGTCCCCCTCGTACTTACTCTTTGCCTTCTGCAAATTTCACTGTTTGGCACTAAAACCAGGGGGTGTAGACAAGTAAAATTATTTGCTTCATTTTTGCTTTTCCCTCTAGTCTTGATAAAGTATTTCTTGTATGAGAAAGTTTAATGTTAGAGGTGAACTTTTTTAAATGTATAGATTCCAATCAGCTGTACAGTTTTGGTCTTCTATTAATATGGATGATACCAGGACAAAAGGTATTAAATTATTCAGTTGTTTTTAAGATGATTTAAAAATGACTGCTGAATTTTTACTACAGAACAGCATATTAGTAAAATTTGTTTTTAGTTGCTCATTTTTTATATTGAGAATGCAACTGAAAAGGTAGAAGCTCTATTTTTAATCTTTTAACATATAATTGTACTAAAACAAACTAAACAGCATATTGATTCCATGTCTTTTTATGTACTGACAAAGATGTCAGTACATGTTTGATATTTTTAAATTTGGTGGGGGTCAGACTTGTAATACTAAAATGAAACTGACTTTCCATCACTTTTTATTAGAGAATATTAGTTATAATCATATAATCTTCATTTTGGAGAAGAAAATAGAGCTTACCTTTGATAGGAGAAAAAATAGATTTAATTCTTGAATGTTAGAGATTGTTTTAGATGGATAATGTTAAAAGATTTAAAGGTGGTAAATATGAAGATCTTTCTGTAAAATGTGACAGAGATACATTTTTTAAGAAAATAATGAGATATATTAGATGGATAACAATTGGGGGAGTTGTTTCCTTAGTAATTCATCAGAGCTTAATATTCAACTATTAGGATACAATTTGTCTCTTCCTTGGATTTAAAACATTCTATTATCAAGTTCAATAAATTAAAAGATTATCTTACAGTTGTAATTGTGTTAACTGAATCTCCCTGCTCTTTTTTTGAAATGTCTCTAAAATAGAGAGATGTTCAGTATTTACCTTGAGTTTATAAAAATTCATTAGGTATTTAAATTAGAAAGTAAAGTTCAGCATATTAATAACATAGTTACAACTATACTTTTCTCTGCTATTAATTAGTCATTTTTAAAGAGTTGGACAATTTTAGAGAGAGATCATCTAGTATTACTCCCTCATTTTACTAGTGGCAGAGTTGAATTTTAGGTTTGTTTTGTTTAAACTATCTTCAAAGTTTAAATTATTGGATGAAAGTGTTTAGATGATCTCATTTCATTCAATTTTGCATGTAAGTTCTCAATACTTACCATTTTGAGTAAATACATTTCCCATCAAGGCTTTTTACTGTCAAATAATATCTAGACTAAGTTATAAATAACAACAGAAAGTTAGAGAGTAATACTATATACAATTTAGAAGGCATTTGTGGCAAACTTCATGAATAATGTCTAGTGGATTAGTGATCTAATGTCTAGTGTCTAGTGAAATGTCCAGAACATTTGAAAATACTACTACATATGAATATTTTAAAGTGTTACTATCTCACACTCCTTTTTATAAAGTATATTTAAACTTCTACTTAATTATGTCACTAAAGACCCATAGTAAAAAAAGTGGGACCTGTATCTTCTAAGGAAATATTTTAAGATTATTTGTATGTGTCAGCAACGTGCAGTTTTGCCAAAGAGATTGTCATTTGATTGCAGTTAGCATTAGCATTGCTGGGACAATAATAGGTGGTTATGTAGGAGAGAGGAAGCTAACTCTAAGAATAGCAGAATAGGGTTTGTGCTCTCTGGGAATAAGCAAGAAAATAATAATTCTGTTGATTTTTGAAATATGCCAGATCATCATTTTTACTAAATTATTATAAATTTATTGTTTCTAAATAATTGTATAATTATATATATATATAATTAAATAATGTTTTTCTTAAATAATATGCATCTTTGTTTCCACTCTTCTATTTTCTGTAGTACCACTGGGCTTGTACCATGTTCAGCAACACCAACTTTTGGAGACCTGAGAGCAGCCAATGGCCAAGGTCAACAACGACGCCGAATTACATCTGTCCAACCACCTTCAGGCCTCCAGGAATGGCTGAAAATGTTTCAGGTGACATGTCTAAACACAGTACTTGAAATGCTTCACTTAATTGCTGCAAAAAATAAGAGATTATTCAACCATGAAAAAGGAACTGTTACATGCTACACCATGGATGAACCTTGAAAACATTATGCTAAGTGAAAGAAGCCAGACACAAAAGGCCCTATATTGTATGATTTCATTTATATGAAATATAAATATCCAAATAGGCAAATTCGTAGAGACAGGTAGTAGTTTAGTGATTGCTATGTCATGGGGGAGGAGAAGTTGGGACTACCTGCTGATACAGAGTTCCTTTTTGGGCTGATGGAAGTATTCTGGAACTGGATAGTGGTGATGGTTGCAGAGCAGGTTGGATGTCCTAGGAACCATTGAAGTGTACATTTAAAATGGTGAATTTTATGTTATGTGAAGTATATCTCAATAAAAATGATGTTAAAAATAAGGGAGCTCATTTTGATTTTTAAGTGTATTTACAGAGAGTCTAATGCTTATTTTGTATAAATGTGCATTTGCATTTTTCATTGCTTTTTTTAGATAAGACCTTCCTTTTCTCCTTTATGTTTGGGTTTCTAGGGTTGCTGAGTGTACTTGTATCCTAATCTACATTGCATTTAGGATTAATGTCGAACTCCACTAATTGGTGACTGGTGGTAATTTACCCTTCAGTTTTATCCTAGTAGCCTCCAATAGTTGATGCAGCTTCTTTACATCAGTGCCATGCTTGTATTTGGCTTTTTGTGTTCAAATTCTGATTACTATATTCTACATTTAAATTCTTTGAAAGTTTACTGGGAGAGTTGGCTACAACTGAACCTTGAATCTTATGAACTCTGTAACTCATGACAGTGATATTAAATTGGTTTATCTCTTCTTCCAGTGAGGTAATGCATATAAATCAAGTATTTAGCAAAACAGTTGTCATGGATTAAACACTCACTTATTCTTTGTATATAGTAACTTAAGGGAATAATGAAAAGTGAAGATATCCCTGATATTAGCCACCACACTAATGTAAAATGAATATACTTCCTTACCTCTGCCTGCTTGATTGGTACCTGCAGGAATAAGAATACAAAAGGGAAAAAGAAGATACTTTATTTGACTTTATTTGATATTTCAGATTTTGGAATGTCCATTTATGTAAATCCAATAATTTAAAAAGCTGAATAAATGTCCCCAGATTTTTCTAAAAGTAGCTGGAGAACTCACTTAAATCAATGTTGCTTTTAAATGGATTTTAAAAATTGTTTTCTACCTGAAAAAAATTGATTACAGGCAGAATAGGATAACTTTTGTTTTTAATTGGTAACTGAAAGGTGAGAGCAGTGGTTCTTGGCAGGGAGCAGATTTTCCCTTGGTTGAGACATACTTGGTTGTTACACTCAGTGGGGTGGAGGGCAGGAGACTGTTGGCATGTAGCGCATAAAGTAAACGTAAAAGACAGCCTCATACAGCAAAGAGTTATTTGGCCCAAAATGTCACTTTGAGCACTGACATTGAGAATCTGTGGGTTAGAGGAATGAAAGTTATATTTTATTGTTGTTTTAAAGTCATGAATCACTACAATTACAAAGAATTATTTTCATAATCATTTGTTGATTAAACTTACCTTTCACCAAAGATTATTCCCTCTTTTCCTCCTGTTCTTTTACCTCAGATTCATGATTTTTTTTTAATTATTTTTTTTTCCTATGAATGCCCTCAGAATTCTAAGTTTTTGGTCTCCTTCTTTTAAAATGTATCCATTAATAAGAGGTAAAAATAGAACTCGGACATTTACACAGTCTTTAAGAAATACTTTAAAAATATTCCCTATCTCTGATTAAGCCAAGGAAGTGGGAATATGGCTATGTGTTGTCATGTTTGCCCAAGCTTATTTGTGAGCAACACAGCCCTTGAGAATAGTGCAGCAGTTGATTTCATACCATTTTTATAAGAAAGTACTAAAATGAATGAAAATTACATTATTAGTAATAGTTGTATCACCATTGTTGACAGCCCCCAAAATGTTTATTTTATATGAAAAGTTTTATTTCTTTATTTCTTATCAGGAGGTAGTCCATAATGAGATTTATTTTTAATGTGATAAGGCCCCATTTTTTCCAGTGTTTCATCAGAGTATCAAAATATTATTTGCTAGCCATTTAGGTTTTTCCCCAAATTTAAGAGAACTTTCTTAAGTATCGACTTATAGTATAGAGTATTTGTGCTTTATTTTTCAGTGAGGGTGGTTAGGGAATCCTTTGTACAATGTTTGTTTAGCTGGCTCATGCTTTTCTTAATGAAATGTCCACATGTTACCACATACTGTTTGTCATCAGATCTGGGATACCATAGATATTAGATGCATCCCAACTTCACAAATGTTCATTGTGAACAAATAAACTTGTTTCTCAGAATTTAATGAGATTCAGTAAACTAAAGAATATTAGGCTAGCATTTGTTCTGTAGAAAAACTCTTTTGATTGCTTTTCAAACAAGTAGATGCAGTGAAGACAACTCATTCTTAGTCAATAAGAATAACGTGTAGAATTATCCCTCCTGATAAAGAATTATATATATATTTTTTCAGATAAATATTCTTGTAGCAAAGAAATCTACTAGCAACAAAAGGTCAATTAGAGAGGAAGATCAGGACCCTAATCCTTTGAATACCATGTCTGTCTCTAGACACACCCAGGCCCTCATTGTTGCATGCTGCCCTTTATTTTCAGGGCTGGTGCCGAAGTAACTAGAGATGAATCACTTGCCTAAAGGCTTATGATGCTTCAATGCCTAACTTGTGGTGAGATATAATCTAGTAAAGTAGGGGAATCATGAGGTGACCTATGCGGTACAGTTGAGGGATAATTAAACTGGCATAATTTCTACTGATATGCTCTTGGGGGCATTTAATGATGACTTTTCTGTTGCGTAACAAGCAAAACGGGAGAGCTTGTCCCCTTAGTGTTCTGCTATTGCTCCTCAGGTGGTAATACAGCATTGTTTTGGTCCAGCTCCATCTATTCTGACCAAGACTGTGTACTCAATTTGTTAGTTGAATTGAGAACAAATGATATGCCATTTTGGATGAAGGGAAATTGAAACCGAATGCCACTGCAAAATAGAAGTGCAAATTAAAAACAAAACAAAAATACTCCAGAAATTTTGTAGTTTGAATTTTTCAGTGACCATTGTTCTTGCTTTTTTCTGGCAGCCAGACTGATGCTTCAGATCATCAATTTTGGGGGAGAGGATTGCCCATTTTTATTTGTTTATTTATTTGGGTTTTCATATGTGGTTTTTCACTTGAAAATTTTAAGCTAAGTAAGACACCATAAACATTAACATTCTCTTATGTTGAAATTTATATTCAGAGGCATCCTGATAGAAGCACTTATGACTTAGAAGAAAAAGTTTTTAGCCCAAATTCTGGCTTTGTCACTAAATAAGTGGATAACTTCATTGATACTATGCAGCCAAACTCACATTTGTTCTCATCCTTTGTAAGATAGATAAAAAGCTAAAATGTTGTCAGAAGGGAGACAACATGTAAATGTGCTTAAAGCTATACTTGGAAACACAGTGGGGACTCAAAAATGTTAATTTCTTCTCTTGGGAAAGAGCCTTGTGAGCCTCAGTTTTCTCAAGTCTGAAATAATAGCAGTAGTTACATCCATGTGTCATTAGGTTAACATCTTTAGCATTTGAATCAATGCATATTTGCATTGCATTAAAACTATTAATAACGTACTTGGAAAATACCTATTATACTCAAAATGATAAAGTAGAAAATATGTGTTTTAAAATTGAAAGTGGAGTAAAAACTACTGGTGTTGAGGGATTTAATTAAGATTCATGGTAACACTTAGAAATTGTACATGTCCTCTAACTTACTTAGATCTTTATTTGCTGGTCAACAAAATACTAAAACAGAAGAGTGCTGAAACAAAATGACTTTCAATTGTATTTGAGACAGTATGCTCGAGAAGCCTTGTTGTGTGTGAGGAAGAGTTGAAGAAAGTCATGTATTTAGCCTTAGAAGACTAAGGGAAAATGTGTCTAAAATTTTGCAGACTTCTAAAAGGAGAATCAGGTATATTCTTGTTTCCTTCACAAAGCAAAACCTCGTTCATATTCCCTGAGTTAAACTTATTTAGATCTGACCCACAGTAGAAGGGGAGATAGTAAGTATGCCAATCCTGGAACTGTTCAAATAGACTGGGTAACCATCTGCAGGAGGTTCTTTGCCACATTAAGTTCAGGTGCAGTGCTGCCTAAGGTCATAAAATGAATATCTGGATGGGATGCTAAAGACTGTCCAGGCTAGTAACTACTGCTGGTTTGTGAGGCACCTGCATCACTTCTGGATGAGTTGTTTATTTAAAACATAAAAAAAAGTCCTCAACCCCACCTTGACCACTGAATCAGACACTTTGATGGTGGGTTGTAGGACTCCTGATTCTTACACTCCTCAACCAGCATTTGGGAACCACTGGCCTGGGCCAAGCCCCTCATTATGTAAATAGGGTTTCTGCAGCTCAGACTTATTAGGGGGCTTCCATGTAGTTTACTGGTGGAACCCAGGCCCTGGTGACAATTCAGTGCTCTTTGCACTCTTCTCTACTACTTGTATTCTCCAAGTATCTGAAATAAAATGCCACTTTCAAGGGGAATTGTCAAGTTTGCATTTGCAGGTTTTGTCCACAAATCAAATTTTGTTTCTCCTAGTCTTTTCTGAGTTTGGAGGTTTTTCCTTTCCCCTTCAATTGATCCTACATAACTTGACCATGAAAGGCCAAAGGAAGATGCTTTTTCTTTCCCAGGACAACTTCTTTTCAGAACAGAAGGAAAATAATTATTATCAGAATTAACCAACACCTTTGCAGATAAAGAAACTTAAGTCATGTGGAGGTTAATATGTAACGTAATGAGTAACTTCCTCCAAAAGTTGGGTTTCCTGATCCCCAATTCAGTGCTCTTTCCATTAGTCCTCATTACAAGTTGTTGTGGGTTATTGTTTTGTTTTAATAGAGCCATTAACTGCACAGTTTTCAAGTTAATACGTACTTCCCTTGCTGCTAAACCATGTAATGTATTTATGCAAAATGTGGAACCAATCTCGAAACCAGACAAAGCAAGTCCTAGTGATACCATCATATATAAAGGCTAGAAACATGCTCTTGAGAGTTTTGGGATAGTACTGGTACAGTATTTTCTGACTTCTTGGGGATTCCTTTGTTTATTCAACAAATACTAAGTACTTGTCAGGTGCTAAGTCCCCCTATGGCTCTGGAATACAATAGTGATAATAATAGAAAAAAAACCTTTCACAGAACATACATTCCAGTTAGGAGGGGGTGGGTTTGGAGGTTTGGAACTGTTTTTTAATTTTAAAACACTGCCCAGAGAAGATCTGAGGAGAAAGTAGAGAAGCAAGCCATGCAGGTATCTAGGGAAAGAATGTTCCAGGGAACAGCAAGTAAAAAGGCTTTGAAGCTGAGCATAATTGGTGTATTTAAAGCACAGAAAAAGTGTCTGCAGCTAACACAAGTAAACAAGAAGGAAAGGACTAAGAAATTAGAACTGTGTAGGCCAACCTAGACTTTGGCTTTTACTCTGAGTGAAATGAGGGGCCACTAGAGAGTTTTAAGCAGAAGAATGACCTTTAGCAATATCGCTCTGACTACTTTGTGGAGAACAGAATGAGGAGGGCCAGGGTGGGAAGCTGGGAGACTAGGTAAGAGGCTACAGGAATAATCCAGGTGAGAGAGGATAGTGCGTACCTTCAGCCAGTGTAGTAATGATCAGATTCTGTGTATATTTTGAAGTTTAAAGCCTTGGAATTCATTGATGGATCAGAACCATCTGATACACGGAGAGACTCAAGGATGAATACAGAGTTTTTGGCCTGAGCAGCTAACAGAATTGAGTTATATTTTACTGAAGGAGACTTATGGACATGTATATGTAAAGAGAAAGATGGAGGATATGTTGTTTCTATTACATATACAAGAATAAGTGTGAAGTAAGCAATTTTATATATAGGTCTGGAGTTCAAGGGGAGAAGTTCAGGCAGGAGAGGGAAAAGCTGCCTATATGATCTAGACCTTTGTTGGAATCATCTAAGAGATGTGATTTTAAGTAATTAGGCTGTTGAATATGTATGGTCAGTAGTAACAGTCTCATTTACTATGTAGTTTACAGTTTATGTTTCTAATCTTTGTTAGTGGTATACTTTTCAATAAAATGTCGCAAAATAATATCTGCTGCATGTATGTATGACTTAAAACGAGATTTAACTTTAATTTTAATTGTTATTTTGTCTTCTTAAATATTACTTAAAACAACAAAAATATTGTTTAAAAAGTTTAGAAACATTTTGCTATCCAGGCATAATTTTTGTCATGCACTTTACCTTAAATATAAGTTCTGACACAGTTTTTAACATTCACCTAAGTTCTGAATTAGTTATTTATCTTCTAGTCTGGCTTTTTTTCTTACTACACCCAATTCCCTAAAGTCCTTGATAAAAAATATTTTTCTGTCTGTTAGCAATCATGTACCATGTATTGATATTGTTGTTCTGTTCCTTTTTAAAAATAGTAATGATACATTGACCCCAAAAATCTTATATTAAACATGTATATTATATTACCTTAAATTAGAAATATTATAGTAGCTGTTAGTCAATATGTATAATTAGTAATGTAGTAATAGTAATAGAAATATTTTTCACTATCTTTTTACTATGCAAGATTACATAGGATATTTTTATATTTGTATAAAAAATATAACTGTAAACACTCCAAAAAATATTTTTAAAGCAGGTATTCGTATATGCAAAGAGATTAAGAAGTTTACATTAAAATTATTCTGCTATCAAGTGACATAATTAAAGCTGCATTTTAATAAAGTCAGCATAGTTATCCATCACCCAAAATGTGCATGTCCTTATAATAGTGTTCATGAATCTGTATAATATAGATGGAGAGGAACAATGTATTGTAAAAACCCACTTCAAATCCTGTGAGGAATGTAAATCAATAAAGCAGAGTCTATAGTACTCACACTAAATAATAAGAGATGAAGAGATTGATCAGTATAAGTTTTGTCAGAGGTAAGTTTTGAACCAGGATCTAAAACTATGTCAGTGAAACTGAACAGAATAATCAAACTTAAAATTAACTGCTTTTAATTGGCCATGTGTATGCTTCTACATGTATATGAGTAATTGTAAGTTCTCTGTATAAATCCTCACCCTAACCATAAAGGATACCAGGTGAGTACTCACGGAGAATGTTCTAGTATGTATATGCTTAGAAATACAAGGAAAAGACACAACTTATTAGAGCCTGTTTCTTCATATTAGATGATAAAATGGGGATATTCATATTCCTCAGGGATTTTTATGATGATTAAATGAGATGTTTGTGATAAGTACAATGGACGTACTGCTAAAAGTTTATGGATAGTGGGGAAGAGGTGAACTACATTATAGATTCTAAAGGGGTACTTTAAAAAATACTTTTAAAAATATTCTGAATAAGGCTTCTTATATCCTCAATATATCTCAATTTTCAGTTATTATCTATTTCACATGTTACAAAATCCAGGTTCCTAGTTTGAGCAAGAAATGGAATATCAAAATCCAGATCTTTCTAGCTCCAATCCTCACATTTTCTTTCTTCACCCACTTCCAAAATGGACATAATAATTCACAAAGGTACTTAAATCAGCCTGCCCAAGGATGTTCTTTCACTTAAGTATTGCAAGGATATATGTTTTACATTATCATTGTGAGGGGAAATTCTAACATTTTAAATTATTCACATGGCTTTTAGTTTTTCCTTTTGAGTATCATGGCCTTTTCTGTGCAGGTATTCCTGAATGGGAATTTTTTTTTTTTATGAACAATCCCCTAGTATAGCTTAAAGGAACTCATATTTTTTAAGTATAATTATGTGTTTTTGTTTTCCCGTAATGTAGTGCTTTCTTATCCTTTTTTCATCTTTGTTCATATTGTAATTGTACTGCTAAGTGTAGTCCTAGCTACTATTTTCTATTGTTTGCTGTTTTTTTAATCTGGAATTATTTTCACATAACATATCTAAGTGCTTTTTTGTGGAAGACACTTGTCAGATGTATAGTATATCCAGTTATTAATTTTTCTCTAAATGCTGCTGCCAGTTTCCTAACTCTCAGATGAGTACCTCATTAAAACCATCAAGTTTTATGGTACCCACTAGAAAGAGAAAGGAAAATCATCTGTCAGAGTTCCCTGTTTACTCAAGTAACTCAAATTGATGTTTCTGAATAAAGTTTTCATTTCTCAACTACTATCTTAGTGGCAGAGAAACACAAAACAATTATAATAATGTGCAAAAATATTCTTCTGTCAAAACCACGACTTTTTCAAACTTTTACAAAATAAAGTTAACTTGGTGAACTTGATGAAACTAAATGATTTTCACTTCAATGCCTTCTGGAGAAAGTGTCACTACAAGCAGCCGCTTTTTAGGTTGTGTGTAGATGTAGATGTTCCTTTATGAGTTTATACTTTAAGACTATTAAAATAATGAAAATTTCTAATCCCTCTTTGATAGAGCTGGAGTGGACCAGAGAAATTGCTTGCTTTAGATGAACTTATTGATAGTTGTGAACCAACCCAAGTAAAACATATGATGCAAGTGATAGAACCCCAGTTTCAACGAGACTTCATTTCCTTGCTCCCTAAAGAGGTAAGGATTATACATTATATTCATTGGGTGCTATTTGAAAACATAACCTCAATAGCTACCACCTTTAAACATTGTCATGCTAATTATGGTATTCAGTATTGTCAGTTCAGCACTCTTAATCAGTGTGGAAGAGGGCTGTAAATGGTAAGCTGCCATGACTTAATGATGTAATTCTCAGATTAAAGTGCACTTACGGGCTATGTGACTTCTGTCCATCGTGCAATAAGTCATATAAGAGAGTAAGCGATTGAGTTGCAGTAATTTGATTGTTTCTTTACCAAGATTTTCTCCCAGGTTATTTGAAGTCCAACTTTAGTTGTCTTCATTTTAGTAGTAGATTTTTTAGAAATCCTGTTGTTATTATAATAGCAATATTGTTTAAGACCTTTTGAGACTAATAATTTTATGGCTGTTGAATTCTTCTGTTACTTAGATTGTGTAATTATTTTGAAGTATATGGAATTTCATATGTGTATCTTTTCTACTGATCACACCCCTTCTCACCTTCATTACACACACACATGAATAATCACAGATTTCCTGTATCAGTTACATTCTTATACCATTTCTTTTGGAATTATTTATGCCCATTTGTTTTCATCTTTATATAAGCTGGCACTATTTTTTATCATAGATTGCAATCATATGGGCATGGGCATTCTTGGCTATATAAATGAAGCATAATTTAGGTGTAGTTCTTTATTGATGTTAGGTTTCCTAGTTTCATTTTTCTCAGCAAACAAATAAAATAACATTAAATAATCCATTAACCATGATTTATACTTTCACAGATTATGTATATGTCACTAATTATATGTCAGCTAAGAAGACAATATAAAATATAATATACTATTGAAAGGATCTTTAAATTTCAAATTTAAAGAGAGAAGAAGTCAGTTTTTTCAGATAATCTTTTAAATATCCTAATGGCATTAAAAATAGTCCCAATAAAAATTTCACATTTCTGGATTTGAACTGATTATTTATTGGATATGAATAAAATAGTTTCATCATATTTAATGTATGAAACTAAGTTATAACTGCCAGAAAAAGCAAAGGAGAAAAAACATCTTTTTCCTGAAATGTTTCTTTTTTGGAGTGACTTTTAAAAGTGACATTGTGTGTCCCAGAAAAAAATTTATATTCTTGCTGGCTCATTCTAAAACTGAACCCTTTGAATAGCTTTGGCTTATGAAAGTGACATAAGCTCTCTTTGCTTCCAAAAAGATGTTAATAATAGGAAGCACTTATATAAGTATTTGAAAGTGAATTTATTCACCTTTGATATAGTCTTCATAGTTTCCCTTGATACCCTACTTATTTTAGAAGGTAGTATTTTTGTTAAAATGTAGGCTTTTTCTTAGTATTTGTCCCCTTACCATTAAGAATGGTGATTTTTTTGTTTTGTTTTGGATTTGTTTTATTTGGATTTCCACAGTACTTTCTTAACATGCAAAAATATAATTTAAAATCAGAAGAATATGAAAATATTTTTAAGAGTCTAAGAATTGAGCACAAATTATTAATAGCTGGAGTAAATGCAGTAAAGATTTGTTTGGATTAACTGTTCTTTTAAAGATTGTCCAAGGAAAAAGAAGTGAGGCCGGATAGGAGAATGAAAGTGAGCCCTGGCTAACCATATCACTGTGTTCTCCCTTTTTTCAACTACTAGAAAAAATGTTTCCTATTCTGAAAAATGCTTTATTTTATATGTGGAGAAATAATGGTATCAATCTAAGTGCTTACAGAAACTAACATCACATTGAAGACCAACTGCCATTATTTAAAATGTTATTACATTCATGTCAGAAAGTAGACTTAAAATAATTTTCTTATAATTCCTTTCAATGGAGCTCAAAACTCTTTACCGCCAGCATTTACTTAGTAATCTCTAAAACCTTATCAGAAATCTCACTAATCTCACGTGGGAGGTTTGGGATAAACAGCATTATCCTTATTTTATAAGTAAAGCCAAGAAAAGCATAGTAATATATAGTAGATGATCTAGAACAAAATCTAAATTATAACATAGGATCAGCCAACATTTTCTTTATTATTGTTTCTTTTACTAGTTCAATCCACTGAAACAGCAATTCTGAGAAACTATTAGCTACCTTTTAATATGGTCGTCTTTTATATAGGTTATAGAGAAAAAAAATTACAGCTCTTGCTGAAATAACAAGTTTGGGCAAGAGAAAAGGTAATTGAAAAAATTTTTATTTTAAGAGCTTCTATCTGGTAGAAGTGATCCTTACAAAGAATTACTAATCTAGATTTTATCTTTAAGACAAATGAGTTAGAAACCTGCATTAACTAGGTCATATGACTTGGCTATAAGAAACCCATAAACCCCTACTATGTTGTAGAAATGTCACTTGGGACAGTGCCCACTCTCTGTCCCCTATAGGAATGCCACATGAGAAAACCTTACTTCCTTTGAGGGACTCGTATACTTCCCCATAATACACTGTAATTGCTGTCTCCTTGTTGTTGCCAGTTTAATTGAAAAACTATGTATGATATTGTTGCAAGCATATTTGTATTCTACTTTTTCCCTTGTTTAAACCTTCCTTTCTGGCTTATTCTTTCTTGGTTCTAGTTTTCTTTATCTTAGTTTTCTGTTTCGTTGTGTGTCTTTTCTATAATACTGAGTAGTTTTAATAGAACTGGCTAATGTAAACAGGCAAACATTTAGAAAGCTGAAGCTCATGAATTAGGGCCTTCGCTGTTTTAAAGTGTACCAGTTACCTATGGAGTTAGCACTTCAACTTTCCTCAGCAGCTGGGTTTCTTTATATTTTGTTTTAATACATGTAGATACTGCCTAGATGTCCTCTTACTTACCAGAAATAAAGGAAATTTTATGTGTTGATATTGAGAGGTACCTTTGAAAACAAAACTGCTCTGGATCTGTTTCCTAGGGTTTAAGATCCACTGAATATTTCTGTAAATTACCTCATTTCTACTCCAGCTGGATAACTAAAGCAACAAATAGACTTTTTCATATGGCCAAAGTAAATATCTTGGGCATTAAATAGCATCTCTTTTCCATAAATATAACTTTGTGTCTGATTATTTCTGTTAAATATCACTTCACATAGAAGATTAATAATACAGTATTATCACATTACCGTTATACTGACACTAAGTGGCATTTGTTCATGCTTTGATTGATAATTTCAAGGGGAAGTGGCTTATGGAGTATCCATTAAAAAATACAGTGTTGAGATATATATATGTGTGTGTGTTTGTATATGTATTGTATATTTGTAGACACATATATACATAGACCAGGACCCAGTTTCTATATTTGATACTGAATGATCTCTGATAGAGAAGAATTATTCCACAAAAGTTTTTCATGGTCATTTATCAGTAGTAGTTTAAATTGAATACTGACTAGTTGAAGTACTTTTTCTATAGAATGTACTAATGATTAGATCTCTATACAGAGTCATTGGGAAAGCATAGTTTATATCATGTAATTCCTATTTAGCATCAAAATAATGCAAACTGCTTTTTATTCCATGTATGGCCCTTGGCTCTTTAAATAATTGTTTTAATCCTTGTAATTTAATTTATATGAAAACTAAACTTATTGCTCTATTTTAGATCATTGTCCTAATACTATAATTTAAATTTTTATGTGATTTGTAAGGCTAATTGAATAAGCATACTCAGAAGCTATCATTCTTCCTTTTCTTCTCTTTCCTCTTCCCTTATTTGAATGTATTTTATAGACTGAAAAAAAATCAGTGGTTTGTAAGTATTGGACAGAAAAATTTTAAAGTCAATGATATTTCAAAGAGCTAGTGATATACAAGCCTGTCTGGCCCATCAAGAAAATTCTCATGAGCTATGTAATTAGAACCCAGTTCCTTTTGCATATCTTTGGAGTAGTAATTGTCCCCTTTTGTCATTTACAGTAAAGGACATAAATGTTTGAAAAGTTCATCATTGTGATAATAAACACTTTGATGTTTTAAAGAACTATTAATTATATCTAATTATGGAAAGTGATCTGAAATCATACCACACAGAATATATGGTAATCTCATTTCTTACCTTTGTTGAGTGAATTTACAGTGTAGTGGGGAGAAAAAAAAGACAAAATTTAAACAAATAAAGTAAAATAAATACATAGATAAATAGAGTTGAGACTCACAGAGCAAAGGCAAGAGCAGAGGCAGGTTTAATACGTATTCCTTGCAGAAGTGGAGTTAGTAGAATAAAGTTCATTAAAACTAATAGAGTAGGTTTTACATCTGGTGTGTATTTGTTAAGAGTGGATATTAGGAGCTACTGCCTTTCATAATTTATAAATTAGAATGTAGAATTATATTTATCTAATGTACTTCATCCTGTAGAGAATAATTAACTTATTATATATATAAACTTTTAAAATATGAATTTACTGTGCCTTTTCTTTTCATAGCTGGCACTTTATGTGCTTTCATTCCTGGAACCCAAAGACCTGCTACAAGCAGCTCAGACATGTCGCTACTGGAGAATTTTGGCTGAAGACAACCTTCTCTGGAGAGAGAAATGCAAAGAAGAGGGTAAGGTTCAAAATCACATAGAGAAAATATTTGTACTTTAAAAAAACAAGGTGATTCTGAAAACAAATACAAAAAATATAAATATATGTACAAGTAGTATAAAGGGTGGATAAATGAAAAAAGAACTGGCAGCCTATCAAAGAATCAAGAATGAGTCTTCATTTACATTCACCTACTTAAATAAAATCCACAGGCTCTTCCACATGCTCAAATGAGCTAAAACAAGAACTATATGTAATAGCAAATATATTAGATTTGCTTCCCAGTCTCTAATACAGCTAATAAACAAAGAAAAAGTCAAGATGAGGACAATCTAAAGGAAACCTAAAAAACAAAACAAATCAGAGCTAAATCCAGACCCACAGACAAAGAGAACAGATTGTTTGTAGTTAGAGGGAGGGGCTTGAGGGGGTATGAATGGATGAAGAGGATGGAGAGGTACAAACTTCCAGTAAAAAATAAGTAAGTCATGGGGAGGAAATATACAGCATAGGGGATATGGTCAGTAATATTGTATTAACTTTGAATGGTGACAGATGGCAACTATATTTATCATGGTGAGCATTTCATAATGTGTGTAATTGTCAAATCACTGTTTGTTCTACACCTGAAACCAATATAATATTGTATGTCATTTATACCTCAATGAAAAAAAGACAAACCAAGACCCAAATTGCTTAAAATAAGATGTAGTTAAATTTCTGCCAGTGATTTCATGGAAAAAGGTGTCCTCTCTCTCTCTCTCTCTCTCTCTCTCATACCTATACTTAGAAATAAGGTTTAAATTGTAGTTATCCTTGGGAGAATAACTCACTGGTATGAATTCATACTAATCCATTGGTATTCCAACTAATAAATGACTTCATTTAAAAATAATAATAAAATAAAGGAAACCAAAAAATCAGCAGTTAAATACTCAAATATTCTGTTTTTCATTTGTTCCTTTCTTAGTATTTATTGAACACCTTCTATGAGCTAGACATTCTTAAATGTTAGGAATATACCAGTGAACTCCCATTTTCTTCCCATCAGGAAGCTTATGTTCTTGAAAACTGTAAAAAAAAAAAATCTCCTTTCTTAGTAGAGGAGTAGGCATCATCCATATTAACTAAAGAAAGGACGTTTTTTTTCCAGCGGGCATCTAAAAAGATAGTATTTTTGAAAAATTATACGAAAGTATTATTTGCCTTGACAAGCAACTTTTTGAAAAAGAATCAGAGAGTGAGACAGATATATTTTATAGGATATCCTTCCCTTTGTGAAAGTTATATATAGTTGAGTGGGAAGCTCTGATGGTTAGTAAAACTTGAAGGTGAAGACCCGGGATACTTGGTTTGTCATCTTGCCTGTGTCTTGGACTAATGAGTGAACCTTTTCTTCTCAAGTGCCCATATGTGTGTGTGTGTGTATATATATATATATGTTAAGGGGGATTAATCACTCCTGCCTTACGTTCTCTCATAGAATCATTAATGACTTTTTAAAGAATTGTGGGAACATACACATAACATAGAATTTATCATTTTAACAATTTTTAAGTATAGAGTTCAGTGGCATTTAGTATATTCGCATTGTTGTGTAACCATCACCACCATCCATTTCCACAGCTTCCTCATCTTCCCCAACTGAAACTCCATCTCATTTATAACAATAACCCCTTAGTCCTCCCTGCAGCCCCTGGCAACCATCATTCTATTTTCTGTCTCCCTGAATCTGACTGCTCTAGGTACCTTACGTAAGTGTAATCATACAATATTTGTCCTTTTCTGCTTCACTTATGTCATTTAGCTCAATGTTATCAAGGTTCATCCAGGTGGTAACATGTCAGAATTTCCATCTTTTTTAAGGCTGAAAAGTACTTTGTTGTATATATACATAACACTTTTTGTTCATCCGTTCATCCATTGATGGACACTTGGGTTGCTTCCATCTTTGGGCTATTATGAATAATGCTGCTATGAACATCTGTGTACAAATATTTATTTAAATCCTTGATTTCAGTTCTTTTGGGTATATATCCAGAAGTGGAATTGCTTGGTCCTATGGTAATTCTATTTTTAATTTTTTTGAGGAAATGTCATACTACTTTCCATGTCAACTACACTATTTATATTCCCACAAGCATTGTACAAGGGTTCTAATTTCTGCATATCCTCACCAATATTCCATAAATCAGTTTGAGAAGGAAATGGTCAATACAAAAACATGCCATAAGAATGCAAACTTTACATTAGTATTTTATTACAAAATTGGACAGTGTCTTGCATTCCCTGGTTTTGAGCATAGGGGAAAATGAGACACATTATAAAACATGTAATTTTTATTATTGGTGAAGGCAGTTATACTTTTCCACTCTTTAAAACTTTAGGTATTGATGAACCATTGCACATCAAGAGAAGAAAAGTAATAAAACCAGGTTTCATACACAGTCCATGGAAAAGTGCATACATCAGACAGCACAGAATTGATACTAACTGGAGGCGAGGAGAACTCAAATCTCCGAAGGTAACTGAACCGATACACAGTGTAACAGAAACCGTTAATCAGTTTTAGCACCTAGTATACTCTTTCACTTCTTGGCAAATGGTGTAACTTGACGCCCATTTCCTGTAGCAGAAAGAAAATAAAATATTTTAAATAAGTGAAAGTGTAACCAACAATATTGCTGTATTATTGAGTTCTCTAACAGCTCATTGTACTAGATTAAAAGATGAGTTGAATTGCATGTTATTGTATCTTATGTAAGTGAAAATTTCTGAATATTGTGTTGAATTTTGTATCATACACGTTTTACCTAAGAACTTGCTACCCTATCTGAGCACATAGTTGGAACATGATTTTTTTGAGGAGTGCCCATGTTGGGGTGTTTTTTTGGTGGCTTTGTATGTTTTATTTTTCCAGATTTAAACACTGTTCTGATTTTCTGTCTTACAACATTTCAAGTATATAAAGAGTGGCAAAATGCTTGAAATTCTTAGATATGTTTTTACAACTGGAGAAAAGCAATTTGGGGGGACACTGTTCTGTCAATATATATATGATATATACACTCTCCTGTTAAGGCCTTTTTTTAAATTTTAAGTTAAAGAAGTTAATAATTACTGTTACTCTTTTTAGTTAGTGGGTTGTTGAAGAAGTCAATAATTACTGTTACTCTTCTTAGTTAGTGGGTACATTTGTTTTTGTGAAAATTGCAAAGCCTAGATGCACAGTTTTTTGGTTTGAACAGATAAAATAGATAATTATAAAATACATATGAGTTTGAACTATCTTTATGAGATCTTGACTCAGCAAAATTTTAAGATTGTGTCTCAAATATAAATAATAGAATATGGAGACAAGAAAATGTTTAATGTAGTTGACCCTTGAACAACACAGGTTTGAACACCCCAAGTCCACTTACATGTGGACCTTTTTCAAAAGTGTTGGCAAAATTTTTGGAGATTTGCATCAATTTCAAACAATATATTCTTTTTTCTAGCTTCTTTTATTATAAGACTACAGTATATAATACATATACAAAATATGTGTTAACCAGCTGTTTATGTTATTGGTAAGGTTTCCAGTCAACAATAGGCTGTTGGTAGTTAGGTTTGGCGGGAGTCAAAAGGTACAGGTGGCTTTTCGGTTGTGCAGGGAGTTGGAGGCCAGTGCACCTACCTCACACGTTGTTCAAGGGTCAGCTATACTGGATTCATCAGCCAGTAAGGATGATAATGCTTCATGTTTTACATAAAGTTTAGTTTGAGAAATAAGCTACAGGTTGCTGTTCCTATTTATGGCTCCATTTTTATTTTCACCAGTATCTTTAAAAACATAATGAAACATTTCTAATGTGTACATCTATCTTGTAGGTGCTAAAAGGACATGATGATCATGTGATCACATGCTTACAGTTTTGTGGTAACCGCATAGTTAGTGGTTCTGATGACAACACTTTAAAAGTTTGGTCAGCAGTCACAGGCAAAGTAAGTTCATGTCTTTCTGCACTTCATAAGTCATTTTGTGTATGTCTTTGCAGGGATCAACCAGGGAAAGGAAAACAAGGATTCATTTTTGACCCTCACTTATTCTTATAGCAAATATCAGAGCCTCTAATTTAGCTTTTTCCTTGGCATGAAGATGATGTTTCTCATGATAGGCGTGTCAGTCGTTTCTTCTCTTATATACTATCTTTGTGACTTAGCTATTTTAACATTTTACAGATGTGCTTTTATCATTTTCTTGGCTTATCTTTTTCTACCACCTTTATTTACCATCTAAGACCTCCCTCCTTTTTAGTCATTTTTAAAAAAATATTGAGGGATATTTGTTTTTACTTGTAAACTGTTTTGTTGATAAAAAACCTGCGGGTGGTTTTGAAGTCAAGTAAATCTTGTTAATTTAGACTTATCTCAAACCCTGAGAGAGGGAGGTTAAGCAGACTAGGTATTTAAATAAGGGTTTAAAGAAAAAGCAATCCAAGCAGTCAGTTTCACTGCCTACAATATTATACTTTTATGGTTCTCTAGTGAATACTTATTTTTATCTGTCCAATGGAGAATATTTTCATGAATTAAGTAATTGATCATCTAAAAGGTAGTAGATGAAAGTGAGGTGGGGAAATGTATGTCTTTTAAAATGTTTTATAGTATGTTGATTCTTCGGCAAGAATCTTCTAAATGTTCCAAGTCAGATGGATTTAAAAAAAAATTTTTTAAGCAGCTTCATATTTCCATAGTGTAATATTAGTTTTGGATTTATTTCAGGGTTTTAATGTCTGTCTTTACTTGTCTAGAGGTACCTTGCCTGGCTCCTAACTACTGCCTTGGGGCAGATTCAGATGAAATGTGGTATGTAGCCACACCCCACACTGCTGGCATTCTGTCATTTAATCCATTCTCATGGAAGAAACCAAGTTGCAGTTGTAGTCTTATTTCCTCAAAGAGGCCTGGCTGGAGCTGTCACATGTTAATGATAATGTTTACTTTCTGTATACTTGTTTCTCACTGTGTGTGTGTGTTTAATACATAATGCTGCTGAATAGTCAAAGCAGTAGCAATGGGATCATATTATATTGATCAGAAAAATTATTTTCTGACACACCAAACAATCAAATTGAGTAAATAACTTTACTCCAAATTTTAATGAACTACTGAAATGTTATTTGAATCATTTTACTTTCTATCCAAAAGTAATCAGCTTGAGTGTTTTTCCAGTGTTTGAGGACATTAGTGGGACACACAGGTGGAGTATGGTCATCACAGATGAGAGACAATATCATCATTAGTGGGTCTACGGATCGGACTCTCAAAGTGTGGAACGCAGAGACGGGAGAATGTATACACACTTTATACGGGCACACTTCCACTGTTCGTTGTATGCATCTTCATGAAAAAAGGTAAGGTAAAAATCCCATAATGCTGGGAGTTCATCGTCTGTCACTTGTGAATTTGGGACCTTTTGTGTTAAGTTCAGCTTATATAGTATCTACTATGTTTAATAGAAAGATAGTGATAAAATGAGCTTTTAAATTAGATTTTAATACTTATGACTTAAGTGTGTTGGCTTAAAATTGGGGGTGTGTCTTTAGATTTCTTTCCTCATTTCGTAGTGTTGGCTTCCTCCTCGAAACTCTCTAATCTTGAATGATACCTTACTTTATTATTCTACATTTTGATTAATCATCAGTTTCAAAAAAATCATTTTCCCTTTTTTTGCTATTCATCTCTCTGCTACTGTGACAAATTCAGTTATTCAGGCTGCAAGTCCCTGAGTCTTTTTAATTACTCACCCTACCCCCATTCCATCATCTCCTCTATATCTAGGGAAAAGCTAAGGCCTGTGGGCTTTGATTTATTCTCTGATTACCTGTCACCTGAACTATTGACAGCTTTCAAACTTGGTCATCTAACTGTTTACACAGCTGACAGAGACTGTCCTCTAATTATATTAGTATCACTGCCCTTTGGGAGATCTCTGTTGCTCTCCAAATTAAGGAATTTTCAGAATGGTTTCAGTGCCTTTGCTGTTGCTTGTATCTCCTACAAAACCTCCCTGTTCAAGTCCTTTCTTTCTTCTGTTGGCATGTCCTCGTGGTACCCCTGTTAAACAGATGGGATTCCTACTTCATTTGTCAAAAAGGTCTCTCTGAGGGGTCCTCGCAGTGAATCCACTCCAGTCCTTCCCTTTAATTCTGTCTATAGCACCTTCTTTATTGAGAACCAAGAACTATTACATTAAGCACATTTCACACTGGATTTATAATACGAGAAGAGAAGTACCTTTTCATTTGTAAATTTAATCTCCTCTGAACAGTGTGCTCTACTATGAAAATTGAGGGAATTCGTACCAAGAGATCTTGCATTTCAGTTTCCATTATGTTCTGATTCAAATCTCTCAATGCTTTCATTTTCTACTCTTCTAAATGTGGAAACTTTGTCCTTTCTTTGTCTCTTAAGAATGACATAAAGGTACTGAGTTTTCAGCTCTCCTTTATAATCCAAAGATGATTGTAGTAATTGTATTACTCTAATCTTAAGGAGAATATAACTAATAATTTTGGGCCAAAGTTTTAAGGGAGTTCTACTGCCTCTACATGTATATCTTCTAAAATCTGTATATCTTAATGTCCCCATAGCCTACTGAATTTATAAATAAAAGCACAAGCAGCCTTTGTTTGATGACTTGTCTACATCTGGTTAATTTTACCAGAATTATATGATGTAAAGCATATATCTTCAGCTGTTTAAATTCTGCATTCTTCCTTGTTTTGTTGAATAACTTTCAGTGAATTTTTTCCCTCATCACGAAGTAAATACATGTTCATAATTAAAATTTGGGGCAATGGCAGAAAGAATAAAGAAAATTAAAATATTTTAAAAATGCTATACCCAGAGTTCTCCCCTTAACATTTTATACGTATTGCCCATACTAGCATTAAGTCTTCAAGTCAGGATCTTATTATTGTGCTCGGATGTGGTGGTGACAGCGGCTGCTCTGGCCACTACTTCATGTTCATCCTCACCTTCGTCTTTGCCATCTTCTTCCTCTGAAGTACAGTACAGTGGTTTTTAAATGTTTCGCACCACTGCGAGGTATTTCTCCATCCCCCGTGGCTGGCAGAACCAAACAGGCAGAATTCTAAGCTTCCCGGCTTCCCATCCCAATCAGAGTATCTCACCTTCTGTATGTTTATATATCAAGGTTTTGCATAGGATTCTTTGAAAACAGGGGCTCCTGCTTAAGTAAAAGAAAAAAGGTTTAATGACCATTGACTTTATAAGTCATGTTTGCTCATGTTACCAAAAATTCTAATGCATTTGTTTTCTGTTTCCCCTCCTACAGAGTTGTGAGCGGTTCTCGAGATGCCACTCTTAGGGTTTGGGATATTGAGACAGGCCAATGTTTACATGTTTTGATGGGTCATGTAGCAGCGGTCCGCTGTGTTCAGTACGATGGAAGGAGGGTTGTTAGTGGAGCATATGATTTTATGGTGAAAGTATGGGATCCAGAGACTGAGACCTGTCTACACACGTTGCAGGGACATACTAATAGAGTCTATTCACTACAGGTAAGAGATCATCTCTTTCCTCTCCCTTAGATGCTCTACTGATGAATCCTTAAGTTATTTTACTCAGATAATCACCGTCAAATGGCTGATCCAAAAAAGACAAATCAAATTATCTTGCTGTTTACTTATAAAGTATATCCCACGATATACTTGGCATGAAGAAAGCATAGATTTTGAAACTAAGTTATTTGTTTCAGTTTTTCTGTGATCCATTTTCCCTCTTAAATACAAATATTTGTCTTGAACCTGAGACTTTGGAGCCCTGTGTTTTGCTGTATTAATTAATGAGTACATAGTCTCATAGGAGAATAACCTGAATTGTAATAAACTCCTTAGCAGAGGATTAATTTGGCCAAAAGCTGCCCCTTTGCCTTGATAGCAGAAAGTTGATGGCCCATGTAATTGTGATTCCATCCCCATTCAACTGGAAGTGGAGCCTTTCTGCGTAAGGCTGCTCTCCTGTCACAGGACTGCTAATTTGTAATCATAAAGAAATATATTTGACTAAACTGATTCATTGGGTTTACATTTGAACCTGATATCCTTGAATAGGTTGCCATATTTTGAGATAAATAACAGTATTGTTAACAAGTTTAGAAGCTGGATGTTATATTTTCTGAAAGATAGCATTTTCAATTCAAAAATACTTCTATTATGTAGCTTATTTGCCAGGCGCTTCCCGTTAGTGATCAGCAAATTGGTACATAGTCCCAGTGCCTATAGTTCTGTTCTTGGGGCATTTGTGTCTTAATAGATGGAATATTGTCTATGTCATAAAATACTGACACATGATAAAGATGTTTGATAAGTTAGAAGAGGCCATGAATTCTGTGGAGAGGGAATTGGCTGCAATTGTTTTTATGTTTTGTGGTATGCTCACAACCTTAATGGGTATAATATTCTCATTTAAATAAGCCATTAGATTGAGAAGAGAGGTTGCAACATTATTATAGGTCTTCTGGGAATTGTTAAGAACTTATTGACTTTTGGTATAGGTAGGAAACTAGAAAAGATATATTCTCAAAGTATATAGATTACCTTTGTTACTAAAATGCCATCTCTTCTAATTCCATATAATTATCTGTTGGCACATTTCCTAACTGGCATTAAGTTCTTGTAAATGAAATTTTTATTTAACATACAGTTCTTAATGGAATTACTTTAAAGCATCATGACAGTTACCTCTAGCCCATTTCATGCGTTGGGTGTTGATAAGCATACCTTTTATCACAAGCTATGCCAGTAGTTTCAGCTTGCTATGGGGAGGTCAAACTTAAATGGCAATCCTTATTAAGTAATCCATGATCTATAGCTACTAGATGGCCAGATGATCTGAAAATAATATGTTCATTTTAGGTCTTTTGTTTTCTTCCAACTGTTTCTCCATCTAGTTTGAAGCCATTGACCACAAAAAAATTAGCATTTCTGAAAGAGGCTTCTGAGGACATGTTCTATAGAGTTGCTTCATTATGTGCACTTTAACCTAGTACCTCATTTGTTCCTGGCATGACCTGTTTTCCACACTCTGCTCTACTCCCCCTCTCATGAAGATTAAGGTCAATAAATAACATCAAGAATACCTGCACTCCTAGTCTAACGAACTGGGTCTCTTGTAGTTTGATGGCGTCCATGTGGTGAGTGGATCTCTTGATACATCAATCCGAGTTTGGGATGTGGAGACAGGGAATTGCATTCACACGTTAACAGGACACCAGTCGTTAACAAGTGGAATGGAGCTTAAAGACAACATTCTTGTCTCTGGGAATGCAGATTCTACAGTTAAAATCTGGGATATAAAAACAGGACAGTGTTTACAAACATTGCAAGGTAGGTATTGGTTCCACACCTTTAATTGTTAAAATGTTCATTAAAAAATGAGACTGTTAAGTCCAAAAAGAAATACGGAGCTTTTGTATCACAAGAAGAATTAACTTCATACAAAAATAAAATGCTTACTTTGGATAAGTTTATGAACCTTTCCACTCTCACTTAACACAACTAGGCTACCCTTGAGAAAGTGTTTACAAATTTTTGTAGTATAAAATTGTTTAATGACTTCCTGTGTGTACAGTTAACTCTCTGTAACCTTAAAAGAACAATGTGAAGAAAGATCTTGGTTGTTTCACAGAAGAACCATACTCATTTGTTTCTTGATCACTTCATTTTGAATTTGTAGTCCAATTTTAAATTGAAGAGCGACCTTAGTGAAAACAAAACAGAAACATCTCTAATCTGATAGAAAATTGGTTTAACTTCAACTTAGACCCTTAGCCATCTGTTTAACTAGGTTGGGAAAGACTGATAGTGCCACTAAACCCGAAAGCTGCACGTGAAAGACACTAATACTGAATGAAGCACTACAGTGTTAACTTCTCATGCACTGTTAAACTTCTTTTTATTGGTCGAGCCCTTAGAAAGTGGTGCAGCTTTTTGCTCACTGGTTTTGTCCCTTTCCCAGAGTTTTGGGATAGTGTCCATTCAGCTTTTACCTTGGACTGGTTAGTTCAAAGTGGTAGGGTAGTAGATCTCTTAGGCTTATTTGTTCATCAGCACAGTGCATGCAGCTGGACTGTCTGCATCAGCACTAAGGAAAGCTCTTTTATACAACTGGAAATCAAAATGGGTGCTTGGTAGCTACCCAAGCTTCCTGGAAGACAGAACCCTTGAAAGCTACCGTTTCAGTTACAAATATCTACCAGAGTTTCTTACTTCCCTGCTGACACGAAAATACTCAGAACACAGTTCCTAAATATGCAGCATTTTAAATATTTCATTTATTGTGTATTCTAACATAGGCATCTACAAATTACATTGTAACTAACCCCTAAGTATGATTTTTAACCAGTAATTAAATTCCTTTGGTTTTGCCTAGGTCCTAACAAGCATCAGAGTGCTGTGACCTGTTTACAGTTCAACAAGAACTTTGTAATTACCAGCTCAGATGATGGAACTGTAAAACTATGGGACTTGAAAACGGGTGAATTTATTCGAAACCTAGTCACATTGGAGAGTGGGGGGAGCGGGGGAGTTGTGTGGCGGATCAGAGCCTCAAACACAAAGCTGGTGTGTGCAGTTGGGAGTCGGAATGGGACTGAAGAAACCAAGCTGCTGGTGCTGGACTTTGATGTGGACATGAAGTAAAGAGCAGAAAAGATGAATTTGTCCAAATGTGTAGACGATATATTCCCTGTCCTTCCCCTTGCAAAAAACAAAAACAAAAAAAAAAAGAAAAAAAGAAAAAAAAAAAGAAAGGAAAGGAAAAAAAAGAAAAAGAAAAAAATTCCCTTGTTCTCAGTGGTGCAGGAAGTTGGCTTGGGGCAACAGAGTGAAAAGATCTACAGACTGAGGGAAAGAGGAAGACGTGACAAACCATAACTGACACGAGAGGCGTCTGCTGTCTCGTCACATAAAAGGCTTCACTTCTGACTGAGGGCAGCTTTGCAAAAGGAGACTTTCTAAATCAAACCAGGTGCAATTATTTCTTTATTTTCTTCTCCAGTGGTCACTGGGCAGTGTTCATGCTGAAGCATCGTTACAGATTCTGCTTGCCTGTTCTTTTACCACTGAGACCATGGAAAGGATCTGCAATAACATCGAAACAAGTACTGGTTGACTTTCTGATTAGAGAGCATCTGCAACAAAAAGTCATTTTTCTGGAGTGGAAAAGCTAAAAAAAAAAATTACTGTGAATTGTTTTTGTACAGTTACCATGAAAAGCTTTTTTTTTCTTTTTTTTTTTTTTTTTGCCAACCATTGCCAATGTCAATCAATCACAGTATTAGCCTCTGTTAATCTATTTACTGTCGCTTCCACATACACTCTTCAATGCCTATGTTGCTCAAAGGTGGCGAGTTGTCCTGGGTTCTGTGAGTCCTGAGATGGATTTAATTCTTGATGCTGGTGCTAGAAGTAGGTCTTCAAATATGGGATTGTTGTCCCACCCCTGTACTGTACTCCCAGTGGCCAAACTTATTTATGCTGCTAAATGAAAGAAAGAAAAAAGCAAATTATTTTTTTTTATTTTTTTTCTGCTGTGACGTTTTAGTCCCAGACTGAATTCCAAATTTGCTCTAGTTTGGTTACGGAAAAAAAGACTTTTTGCCACTGAAACTTGAACCATCTGTGCCTCTAAGAGGCTGAGAATGGGAGAGTTTCAGATAATAAAGAGTGAAGTTTGCCTGCAAGTAAAGAATTGAGAGTGTGTGCAAAGCTTATTTTCTTTTATCTGGGCAAAAATTAAAACACATTCCTTGGAACAGAGCTATTAACCGCCTGTTCCGTGGAGAAACTTCTTTTTGAGGGCTGTGGTGAATGGATGAACGTACATAATAAAACTGACAAAATATTTTAAAAATATATAAAACACAAAATTAAAATAAAGTTGCTAGTCAGTCTTAGTGTTTTACAGTATTTGGGAAAACAACTGTTACAGTTTCATTGCTCTGAATAACTGACAAAGCAGAAACTATCCAGTTTTTGTAGTAAAGGCGTCACACGCAAACAAATGAAATGAATGAAAGTCACATGGTTTGCCTCATTCTCCAAGAGCCACACAACTCAAGCTGAACTGTGAAAGTGGTTTAACACTGTATCCTAGGCGATCTTTTTCTTCCTCCTCCTGTTTATTTTTTGTTGTTGTTTTATTTATAGTCTGATTTAAAACAATCAGATTCAAGTTGGTTAATTTTAGTTATGTAACAACCTGACATGATGGAGGAAACCAACCTTTTAAGGGATTGTGTCTATGGTTTGATTCACTTAGAAATTTTATTTTCTTATAACTTAAGTGCAATAAAATGTGTTTTTTCATGTTAGTATGCCTGTTTCTTCCACCAAGGTAATAATACTTCATTATAAATATTTAGGGTCTGCCTCTAATATTCAGAAGAGCAGTCTTGGTTTCTGTGCATGCCATGTAAGGGTGCACTGAAATCAGGATTTTCAGGCCCATTTTAAAGGGCTGCAGTGAGGGTATTGTGCCACAGATGGAAGTTGTACTTAACTCCTTAGACTCTGAGGAGGGACAACTCCACTTTGCTTATCTCTATTACACTATTACGTATGACTGAAATCTGGGTCCCTCGGAGTTAACAAAACTTTTGTGATAGTTACAACTAGAATTCCTATTTAAAGTCCATTTTTTAAATTTGACCACATATTGAACTTACAAGAACATTCTATGCATTATCTCTGAAGCTCCCACCATCCCTGAGAAGTAGGGACTATTACCTCCATTTTAAAGATGAAGGCAAAACTGGCTCAGATGGGTTGGGTGATTTATCAAAAGTCAGATAGCTAGCAAAGTTCCAGAATTCAAACCCATGCCCTTTAAGAAGAAAGAAACCCAGGATTTTGACAGACTAAAACAAGGTTTTGGAAAAAAATAAGTCATTTTTGTGATTCTTTCAGGCTCTTCTGTCACCATTTTATTCAATACATTATAAGTGGGAAAAAATGAAGCTCAGTATTTATAGTATGTAACCTCTCAAATAGCAGCCCCCCCACCCCCACCTATTAGTCTCAACTCTCCTGGCCACAGATGGCAGTCAAATGCTGTACCCTTGAGCTATACCCCCTTATGTCCAGGCCATAGATGAAATCCTAAAAATGGACACTACTTAGAAAATAAATTTCAGTCATAAAGTACATGTTCTTTACTCATAGGGCAGCTTTGGGCCTCATGTTCCCAGAGCTACTAAATCAGAACATCTGAGAGTGGGACCCAAGAATCATCATCTGAACTCCATTCTGGTACATTGGGTTTTTTGGTTTATTAGTTCCCAGCATATTACAGGCTCAGGGATATCAGGGAAAAGTGACAGCTTAGAAAAACACAGGAAACTCATCTGGTTAACCACAAGGCAAAAATCCTATTAGGCCATAAAGTGCAGGGGCCGGAAGCCCTACCTGCTTTAGGGCTTAGCCCAGAGCCATTGCCTACTGTTCATATTGGTGACTGAATAATCAAGAAAAAGTTGTAATTCCATTGGTAGTCTTGAAACTGCTTGATATTTCATAATATAAATGTGGCTTAACTGTAGTGTAATTGGAAAAATACCATCTTTAAAAAGAAATGTACATGGTAGAATACAAAGAGTTCACAGGTGCAGGCAAATAGGCCTGAATTCAAATCCCAGTTCTTATAATACTATCTAGTTATGGGACCAAGAGATTTCTTATTAGTAGTCTCACTAGGTTATTAGTATAAATTAATAGTTACTCATCAGATTTCTTGAGCTCACGTTTCCTCATCTAGTATGTAGGGAATGCCCACCTCCTAAAGCTGTAGGAGGGACTAAGTGAAATGTTTTCAAGGATAGAGCACACTGATGGCACTGTGAGCTCAATGACGGAACCTGCTCCTAAAACTTTAAGAAATACAGACTCAGACAATTGTAGTTTCTTATATTTAGGGACAATTGAATGTGTTTGTGACTCATTTGGGTATTTGATAAAAATAACATTGTTCTCTATATAGCAATTTACATTATTTAAAGTGGTCACAGATTTCTCATTTGAATCTCACAGACATCTTGTGAGGTAGACCAGTATGGATCACTTAATGGTGATTTTGTATAAGTTTAGGTGTTGACTAAATATTATTTTATGAATAAATGAGTGATCTTTCTTACAGCAGGAATGTTCCTGAAAGGGAAAATGTTAACCTCCTCCTAAAGGAATGAAAGTATTGTCAGTGTAGTAAGGAAGGTTACAAAGGAAACCCTGCTTTGTGGTGACTTCAATGAAGAAATTTACCACCTTATATATATAACTGGATTTTTAAATCTATACCAGAATATAGGCAGTCCCCACATCTGGGGGTTACAAGATCCCAAAGATCAAACATTGCCTGAAACTAAAATTAAAAATTAGGACACAAAAGTAATCCATAAAAACCCATAGCAAATGCTCAGTAAATACTAAATTGAGCAAAGGGAGTTTGCTATCTCATTTTTTTTAACTGGAATTGTTTGCATTTGAAACTCCCTTACTGAGGTTCAGTAACCACAGCCATTTCATTAATTTCCAACAGCTAACACATACCAAATGGTTAAGTAAATGTTCCAACCTACCTGTTCGTTTTATTTCAGAAAGTAAGTGGCAATTATTTGTATTAACTGTTTTGATCCATTTTTTCTATGTCTTTTCAGCTAGCCTGTTACAGTCTTTTATGTCTCTGACTTGAAATAACTAAGGCTACAAACAACTAACAAAGATCTCCATACTTTTCTCTTTGTTAGAGAGAAATAGGAGATCAAGGGCAGCTTCCCCAGACCCAGGCTGCACCCTGTGTATGGAAACACTCACTGCACTTGGTGAACAAAGGTACAGAGGTGGAGTGAAGATACCTCGAAGGAGCCTGCCTGACTCCATCCTCACTCCCCTAACTCCTTCCATTCCATACTGAAACCAGAAACAAGGGGCTCTGCTTAGTAGGAGTAGAGTCACGATACAGTATTATTATTATTATTATCATTATCATTATTATTACTATTACTATTATTTTGGTGCCTTCCCTCAGACACAGCCTTCTTCATTTGCCTGCTATTAGTCATCCTCCATCCCCAATAAACATTGAGAATATAACCTATACCCCACCACCAGCCAATAGAGGATGCAGCCTTGTCCATAGGACAACCTCCTGTTTTGTAGAGCCATTTGTAATTCTACTGACAGTAAAAGTGGTTTAGTGTTGCTGATGAATGAATTTCTGATGCAGGTTGTTTTAAAGTGCCCTGCCTTCCTGCATTTTGAAGGGACATATTTGTGTGTGTGTGTGTGTGCACATGTACATATATAAGAATATACAGGAACGTGGGAATAAGCCTCTTGCTCTCAGTGAGTCATAATAACATTGTTTTCTTAAGCCTTTCTCCTCTTAACCCATGAAAAAAAGGGAAGGGTCACCTAAAGAAAGGGGTATTGGTAGCTAAGAGGAGATTTCCTAAGTCTTTTCCATAACAGATCGATGGCCTCTGTGTCTGAAGAGGCTGCCATATGTGTGTACACAGTGTTCCTGGAGTCCTGTATAGTAATTTGAAAAGTTGATGCATAATTTTTTATTTTTGCATTTTCTACTGCCCAGGAGATGGATTTTAAATTAGAGCCAAAGTGGCTGTACCCAGATCCCTTTTACTGGGAGTACTTGGTCATTAATTTGAATTGCAAACAAACATAGCCTGGCATGCTCACCAGCCAACATGTCTCATTATCCATTCGATTAATACTAGTGATGCCCACATGAGTGAGGTTCTTGCCAGCTTTGTCCCTCTGCCACCTTCTCTTTCTAGGTTCTGGATACTGAAAAATATCAAAAGGTAATTTCAAAGGTTCTTACATCTTTCCCCAAAGTGTAAAGGATAAATGAATTGTAGATCTAGTTCCTTAGGAAGACTCATTGCTGAGTTCAAAGCCTGGCGACTTGCCAATTTGCAATTGGGTATAAAAATAGCTGAGTTTCTATTTCAGATGATCTGATTCTCCCCAGGATTCTTAAGGACAAGAAGCCACTGAGGGGACATTTTGACATTTTCATTCCTTGTCTTGAAAAGTCTATCGTGGCAAAACCTATGAAGGCTGTTTATCCTTGGGTTTTGTTTTGCTTCAGCAGTCATGCTCTACAAAAGAAAAATTATGTTGAAATCACTCTTGCAAATCAAAGATTCAAATATAATAGACCACAAAAATATACTGCCAATTTACCCTTTTTCTAGGAGGTTCACAGATTGTAAGAGAGACATCAAACCACTGTAAGACAAAGGTTACTTGCAATACTTTTTAAACTTATATGGGGAAACTCATTAAGATTTTACCAAACTCTTATGACTTAATAAAATCAGCAGACAGTATAGTCCCCTGCTACTGTAAGCCTCTCTTTTTGAGGATGCTCTCCATTCCTGTAAGGTGAGTTTGACTAGTTTAAATAAACCCAACAAGAACACAATAAAGTATAGAGGTAAAAAATAAAACTGCAAGCACCTCTGGTAAGGGTCAGATCTAGGTTTTGGGGACCTGAAGTGCATAAACTGAAGGAACCCCTTAAAAGAAAAACAGCCCCATACAATTAATTCCAAAGGTAAACATTTAAAATGGTAAAACTTAGAACAAATTATTGAAGCCTTGGTAATGCAGTTCTGAAATGTCTCCAGGTAATTACCAGAATTGCTTAAGAGAAATGCGTCTGCTTGCAGCCTGCTTATCCTAGCTCTCGCAGGGATCTGTTAAAAGAGGAACCCTGAAGCTTAGCTTTATCAGTTTCAAGGAAGATCTCTGCCTCTCTCAACTTCGATTTCCTCATCTGTAATTGGGTAACATGTTATGGGTATTACATGAGATACTGTATGTTAAGCACTTAGCATAGTGCCTGGTGTGTAGCAGGTACTCATTAAAGGGTTATAGTTATCACCAGTGATAAAGTATGGTACTTAGTTCCCATTGTACACTTATGTGCATTTATTAAAGCTTAGCATGGACATAAGTATTTTTAAATCATTTATTTTTCATTTAATCTTCTCAACTGTCCCATGATATCATATTAGTAATCCCATTTTACAGATGAGGAAACAGGGACAGAGAAGTCAAGTAACTTGCTCAAGGCCATACAGTTAATAAGAAAAAAAAAAACTTAGAGAAACTGGGGTTCAAACCTGGGTATCATAGCTCCATAGTCCAGGCTTTTAACCACTGTATTATATATTAATTCACAACTGCCTTGCAAATATGGAAACATGTAGTTTGTCATAGGTCATACCAGGTAATGATGTAGCCCCCACTCCCAACCTGTCAACCTGGGAGCTGACATAAAGTCACAGAA